CAGGGGTGGAGCGGCCGCTGCCCGGCGAGCCCCGCCGGCGCCCGGGGGGCGGCCCCGCCGTGAGGAGTTCCCCTCAGGGCCGAAGTCTCCCGCCCGAGTAAGCGCTTCCCTTCCTGGCAATTGCCGTCCGCCAGGCGTGGGGTGCCGAAGGACTGACTGTTTGGGGGCAGGTGCAAGTGTCCCAGAATTCTGCCTGGCCGTTCTCTTGGCACATACCCGTACAGTTGGAATTTGTGTTCATTCTCCACACTTCTTATTGTTTCCCTCACGGCTTTCTGGTTTTAGGTTACAGTTCTAAGTAGTTTCCTTCTTTCTTGCCCTTCCTACCTTTTATCAGACTTCTTGAAAAACAGAGCCATCGATAACGAAACAAACAAACAGTACTTTCTTAAATACTGCCTTTTTTTTTTGTCGTCTGCCTTTATGCATTGTTCTGTGTTTTTCTAGAGCTGCCATCTGGACTGACTGAAATTTGTAAGCTTAGCAGAGGCTAGAGTTTGGTAGAAGCATTAAAGGCAAGTACTGGTTTTACTCCGTTTATCCACTTGTTCCTGTCTCCACCTGCTTCCTTACTTACGGTGCTTCCTTCTGTGCAGTGCTTCTGCAGGAGTTCACAGAACTGTAGCTGTATAATGTGGATGATAAGGCATTTATGTCATGAAACGTACTTGGTAATGTGATTTATTTTATTGCTGTTTAGTAGAATGCATGGAGAAACAGAGACCAATCCTGCTAGTGTCTTTCATGTTTGAAATTAAAATATAGTTGAAATCATGGTTTTTAGCCAAAGAGTTAAGATGCACACCTGGTGGAAGTAGGTGTTGACTTTTTAGAGTCACTTAGACAGTACAACTTTCAAATGTGTCACAAGATTGCTAGGTATAGGAAAATATTTTAGGGAAAATATGTTTTAACTGTTTTAATCTGGTTTTCATGCTCTTGCTTTATGTATGTTAAACATAGAATGTGGTATTAAACATAAAAATGGATAATTTTTTAAAAATAGAAAGTGAAGTTTGAAATGGTGAATGTCACAGATATAAGTGTATGGAAAATATGAGTTTATCCCAAGAGTCTGAGATTACATTAGCGTACCTGACTGCTGGATTTAGACTAGCTGTTAGGAGCAGGTTTGCAAGGCAATCAAAGTTTGTGTGGTGGTTGGTGTTTTGTTTGTTTGTTTTTAATGTAACTGCTTTGTTTATTTTTTTAACTGATTAGTGAAACATTAAAGGGCATTGTTTAGAAGGACCAGAAGTCTCAGTTGATACAATTAACAGCAAATGAGTGGAGAGCAATGCTAGGCAAATTCCTCATTACACAAAGAATTCTTCTTCAAAGGGAATAGTTTGGTTTGAATTATTGGTAAGTGGTTAGGACTCAGTCTAGCATGAAATCCATGTTCATGGTTATGATTATTGGATGTGAGCTTTTACATAGATGGTAGTATCCCTTTCGATTTTATGGGTTTATTGATGTGAGAAAGCTGTTGGAATTTAGTCTGCTCTAGTTAAATTCCTGTAGTTTGAAATAAACTGCAGCCATCTTCGGCTGCCTTTAAGTTATGAAGCTATCTTTAAATTGATTAGGAAGAGATTTGAGCTACTGAGATATAGGATATATAGGATGTGTGTTCATTTAATTATGCAGACTTTAAAATAAAATTAACTTAAAATTTTATTTAGCAGAAACACCATATTTTGTTCATTTTAGTTGTGCTGTATATTCATTAGCAGCACAGAAGAATCTGCTAGAATGATGAAATTTGAGTTCTAGTGTGTATAAAGAGAAGGCAGAAAGGGTATGGATAATTAATGCTTGATTGATTGATGTATGTGGATGAGTTGTTTTACTCTTTGCCTCACTGGAAAATTGTATTATGTATTAGAGAAAAGGGATTCATAGGTAAACAAAAAGCACACAGAAAAAGGGAACTCTTACCTGTATTTAAATTACAAGTCTGTTTCCAAGTACAGAGTTTGTTTATGAATCTGGTTTTGCCACTTTTGGTGGACTTCCCTGGCAGTTCTGACAGCCACCTCATGGGTTCTTAAGGATGTCACATAAGCTTTGCAAGCTAAGGACATGCATTTCCCCAAATGGGGTATGTTTAACCTTGAATTTTACAGACTCTGTTTAACAGCTGTTCTTATAAAAACCAGGGTTATGCTATAATAGCTATTAAATGAATTAATATATTTTCTTAGAACAATTCAGGTTTTTGGTCATGCTTGGTCTATCTGTATCTCCTGTTATAGATAACTTGATGCTTTTTTTTTTTCCCCACTCAGAATTACTGTATTCCTGAAACTTTGTGGATGGCTTTTATCTCTAATACTATCCTTAAGTTACCTCTTTAAATATTTGTTTCTTGTGGAATATGGTAAAGCTTATAAAAATAGTATCATTTGTAAGAGTTAACTACTTTACCTATTTGAGTTTGCTAAACTGCCTTCATTTACCTCAGTTTTTACTGTTAGGTAGTGTCTGGGCTACATCAAAACCAGCGTGTTATCTCTGCCTGTCTAGGGGCGCTAGTCCTGCTTGCAGGCATCTGCCAATTGAAGAGCCTTCTTCTGTTCGAAGTTTAAATAGACTCTTGTTTTATCTTAGAATGTGCTAAAAGAATATGTTTTTTGAAATGAAAGGAAAGAACGGAACGCTTGGTTTGTCTGGCACAGTGAGAAATGTGTCTTATGGGCAAATCTGAGGTTTCTGTCGGTACTGAAGTGTAATTGCTTTTAGGTTCTGTGGCACCAGATGTTTTAACTGTTTGTAATGTGCCATTGGCATGACTTTTGCCTTGTGGACGGAAGTATTATTTAAACACATTTTGACTGTATTAATGGTCATTTTCAGGTTTATGTGCAAATAGACAGCTGAGCTTTTGCTCTTGAGCTCAGTTACACATTTGATGTATTTCAAATGCTAAGTTTCTCCACATCATTTCACTTAAGTCCTGCTTTCAGCTGGAATCTTATAGCCAACAGTTGATGAGCAGTTTCGAAAAGTCCTGTTAGCTGTAAGTTTCTGGACTATAAAGTTGTTTTTTTACAGTACAGGTAAATGTTCAGCTTTGTGCCTGTGCTTGAAGTTGAGTGTTGGCAAGTTTCCTCCAGCAGCATGCTTGGTCTGTACTAGTTCTACTGCAAACATTTTAGTGCAGGGAGGGTATGGATATTAAGCCTCAGTCTGGGCTCTGTGCTGTATGAACTTGCTTCTTGGAAGAGTACTTTACAACCTGGGGAAAAAAGTTGGCTTTCAAATACCACTGTCTTGAAGTTTTGAGAGTAGGGAATAACTCTGCTCTGCGAGTTATAGTATTCTTCTGTATCAATTTGTATATGGCAGAAGACGTTTGTCTTTCCAAATGGTTGAGATGGTTTGACTTCATAGCCATTGATAGAATTTTCTTCTCTGCGCTTTCTATGGGTCTGGTTCTGGAAAGCTGTGTTTTATTTAATATTAAAGTGCTTTCATTGAACTTTAGGGAATTGTTGAAATGAAATGAACAGGTAAATCTTTTCCCTGATATCATAAATGTAATAAAAAGGTTTTCTTTCAGTTAAATTTAATTTAGAGTTTCTCTAGGATTTTATTGGTACTTCATATAAGCAAGTTCTGCACTCCATTTCTCTCCTATACACTAATATTTTTGTATTTGTAACAAGTTCTACTGTTTGATTTCAATTGAATTCTCATTTCAACAAGTTGCTAACTGTAGATCATTGAAATTTTTTTTTTAGAAGAGATTATGCTGGGAATCATGAACAGCAATAATTTCGTAGTACTCCCAGGCTCAAAAACTGGAACCTCAGTGAGATTAAAAGCAAAGTAAGTGCATTTTATCTGATTGTGATAAAGATATTTTTTCATCATTTTTAGTAAGTTTTAGTGCAACATTAAGTAGAAGACCTTATTTGTGTGAGAGTAAGAAGAATCACAATGCGTGTCTTTGCTAGTATTTTAGCTATGCTTTTATTCTTAAGCCATCCTTTACTTAGGCTTTAATCTACTTTCTGAGTAAGTTACAAGCCTTATAACTATGTATCTAACATATATACTTTGTAAGCAAACAATACCAAAGGATTCAATGGAATACTTTATTTTAATGTAGTTAGACAACAAACCTTTCCGAACACAGAAACGGTTGTGTCAGTTATGTCGGCCACTCTAGAGCTTATATTGGAGTAGCCCTATCACTGTCAGCATAGCCCTCTGTAATAAGAGATTCTTGGGTCCTTGAAGTTTGCACCTGACCTGCCATAAATTTTCCAGAACAGCTCTCAGTCTTGCTGGGAGATAGAAGGGTGAAGTGCCTTTAATGACAAATTTTTCAGCTTTTTTGTTCTTGTTGCTTTAAACCTTTTCAGGTACCTTACTGTCTTTCATGTAATTTCTAATGCATATTTTACTACTTTAACTTCTCCAGAACTGTCAGAGAATTGCAGTTGGAGAAAGTGCGGTTAGAAACAGAAAACAAAGAGATGGAGAAGAAATTATGGCAACTGCAGTCAAACATGAGCAGAGAAAAAGAAGAAAGAAAGTAGGTTAAATTTTTGTTTCAAAAAAGGAATCCAGTGAGGTGCTCTCTCCACACCTCCCCCTGCCCCAGATGGATCTCTTGCAAAGTTTGGAATTCACAATAGTGTTCAGTCTCCTCTCCCCATGTTTCTTCACAGTAATAAACTTGATACGCTATGACTTTCTTATTTTCGAACTCCCATGTGATTTTTTTTTTAAGAAGTAAACTAACAAATCCTTCCTGGCAGAGAGATTCCTTCAGGACCAGTGATCCCTTTTCCTCATTCCTTCTTCTCCCTTTCCCCCCTGTCCAATTAGATTTGTCACCTAAGTTTTAAAGCAGAAGACAGAAAGTAGTTTCTCTTGCACTATTTCAGTCTTATTTCTGACACTTCTAAAGAGGATGCTGTTCTTAATATCGCTTTGATCCTGTTTTGCGTTCAGCTGTGTAGCTTTTCAGGCATTTTCTGCATGATGGAAACCATGACTTGGAAAGAAGCATAACATAACGAAGCAAGCCTAGGGTGGGAGTTAAAATCTCAGCTCTGTTACTGGCTCGCTCTGAATGTTAACAAATCTCTGCAACATCTGCTTCCTTTTCTTTGTACTTCTGCCTGACGTATTTTGTCACTGGTGATACAAGTGCCTTGCATACCTTAGCGCCTCAGTATTGGTTGTGCTAGGGACTTGCTGTTTGCAGCTCTGTAAACTCTTGCTTGAGCTGTTGAGGCAGTGTTTTCCAGATTGTATTGGCACCTTTTCCCCAATATTGTGCTCATGCAGTTGTTCTGGTGTTGTTCTTATGACCTTGTACCTGCAAAACCTGATAGTTGTCTTATGGTGAATTCAAATGACAGGAATCATTGTCATTTGCACCACTGGTAGGGAAATCATCCCTCTTCGCTCCTACACGTTTTCCTTACCCTGTGTTATGTATGCTTTAGTTTGTTTTGCACTATGTTTGGTTTTCCGTAAAACAGAGTAGATTAGTCATTTGAATACTTGATCAATATTATGCAATATCGTTTTATGCAGTGTACTAAAACTGAAAATCACTGTTTAATCTCCCCTAGTCTTAAATTCTTTCTTGCTATCTTCCATGTTCATCATAGCAGTCGATTTTTAAACTGTTATTAACTTAAATCTTAATTGCAGGTAAGTGTTCCTGGCCTATTAAAAGATGCTGCATTTTAGCTGTGCTGCATGAATGCCCTAGAGTAAACTGGGACTATGAAAACTTATCTATAAATGTGCTTTTGTTACATTTTTATTCTTCTAAAACCAACCTTAGAGAATTGATGGTTTTTTATTGCATTTAAAACCAGACTGATTTGATGGTGTAAAAAGAAATGCTTTCTTATACATTTGATATTTTTACTACTATTAAAGTAGATATGAAGTAAGTTCCGATGGAAGGGAAGTGTTTGTGTTTTGGGGAACTGATGATCCTATAGAAAAGTATTTTATTTTTGTGATGCTCTGTTCTTATTTAAAAACCTGAAGGAAAAGCTTTATGCTTTTCTTGCTTACAGAAGACATAATTTGTAAGTTCTTTCTTGCTCTTGGTTCATAGGAAATCTAGTGGATATCATTGGAAATCTGGACGGGCAGGACCGATGACCATCCAAGCTCGAGTTTTGTCACAAAGCAAACAAAACAATAATAAGGTAGGTAACTATTGGTATATTTGAAGGTAAAGCTATTTAAAACAAAACAAGATTTAGAACATTTATGCTGTGAAACTTAAGAATTTTAAATACTGCAAAAATAAAAGGTTAAGCACCTTCTGAGTTAAATTTCTGACTGTTTATTTTTCCGTGCCAAGCTTATGTTTGCTTTTGAGCTGGAGGAACATCAAGTTCTGTCTGGTGATTTGGTTTTTTTTAATTGCAGTAGATAGCAAATTATCATTGGTTCAACAGATTTAGTATTGTAAGTGTCTAATTTGGAAGTGATGGAAGTCACCATGAGCCTGTCTTTCAGATTAATTAGGCCTTGTCTTAACGTCCGTTATGAATCTGAAATACAAGGTTTCATGTGAGGTTTTGAGTACAAGTTCTCTATCTTCATAGATAAAAGCTATGAAAAAGGCACACCACATTCAAAAAAAAGCAGTTAAGGTTTTGGTTTTTTTTAACTCGGTCATTGTGAAATGACATCTGCATTCACAGTAGACCTCCCATATAACTCTGTGGTTTATTCTTTTTTTTTTTGTCCTATAATCTTTCTTAGGATGCTTCTGCATTTCTTTCAGTAAATACAGAAGGAGACTGAGAACCCAGCTTGCCATTTGATCCACAGTAGCTGGAAAAGTGCTGCATTCATCTCCTGAGGAGTGATGCTAGTTGGTCAAGTGTGTGTTACATAGACCTTTAAAGCATTCTCTTGGACAGGGACTGGACTCAGTCCATTCTCTTGGACAGAAGCTGAATGCTTCTGAGTGTTTTCAATTGTGGATTCGGTTTAGCAATTGGCTTTTGCTTCATGGTATTCTTGCTCAGACCTAAAAGGAGAGATGTAGCACTTCCCTGCAAAGTAATTGAAAAATTTTTCTTTTTATTATGTACACAATGGGGTATTTTCCCCTTATTTCCTTTTGGAAGCTATTAGAGCTATTTTTCTCAAAATCAAAATATATTAAGAATCAGGCAGTCGTATGGGAGTGGTAAAAGCTGGTCAAATGTGTAAGTAGCTGAAGACTGGACCTTGTAGGGAGTGTTATCACTTCCAACTGTAATAACCTAGTCTTAACATTTTATTCTCTGGTGAAATAAATTCATCTTTTTAATAGCTTAGACTCTTGTCCTTGAGGCTTTATACATCATGGAAGCAAGCATTAGGTGTATCTGTCATTGAATAAAGTTCACAAGTGCTGTTAAAATTGTGATAAAAGAGACCATGTTCTTTACTTGTTCCATGGATTAGTATGAAAAATCTGCAGGGGATCCCCAAGTCCAAACTAATTCGCCTTAGAAATACTTCCTCATTCCTTTGGCAGACATTGATGTGTTTGGAGAGGCATGTGAATTGGACTGAGCAGGATGTAAGAAGAGATTTCCCTTATGATTTTTTTCTGGAAGCCGTGTTATGTACTTATTACTGTTGAAATGAGAGCTGTTAATTAAGACAGACCGTTTGAAACAGACTGAAATAAAGCTTATACAAGTCTGAAGAGAAAGGCAGACAATGACAACTTCTGACTAAGCCATCGCAGTTGCTATTTGAAGTCTTTTGAAGCAGCAGCAGTTTGGTGTGAAAGTCTTCTCAGCCAACACAGTCAATTTCAAGAAAATTGCCTACTTGCATGTGAGTAGAAGAGTATCAGAATGGAAAGGTTTTCATAACCCACCTCTTTCTCTTTCTTCTTCTCTGAGACAAGTGGCTCAGAGCTGTTACTACTTCAAAGACTTCAGATTTCAGCTGTGATGGGTAAGGAGAAGCGTGGGGCAGAATTTTCAAAAGGGCAAGATTAAAATGCCTGCTGATGCTTAAGAGTGGGGGGGGAAGTAAAGGTGCAGTGTGGGCTCTGTTTACAGGGAAAAACTGAGGAGCAAAAATGTTGAAAATTATTAGTTACAGGGTTGCTAGGTCATGGAAGGGTAATGAAGAGAAACAGAAGGAAAACCAACTAACACCTCCCTAGACTGGAACACTCTATAGGTAGACAGCCAGTGACAGGACAAGGGGCAATGGGAGCAAGCTGGAGCATAGGAGGTTCAACCTGAACATGAGGAAAAACTTTTCTACTGTAAGGGTGACAGAGGCTGGGACCAGGCTGCCCAGAGAGGTTGTGGAGTCTCCTTCTCTGCAGACATTCAAAACCCGCCTGGATGTGTTCCTGTGTGACCTGGTCTGGGTGATCCTGCTCTGGCAGGGGGGTTGGACTGGATGAGCTTTCGAGGTCCCTTCCAACTCCTGATATTCTGTGATTCTGTGGTATATGCACTGATTGTATGTGCTGTAGACTTCATTGCTTGACTTTTGAGCCTGTGTCAATAGTTACAAAAGTCGTGCAGGTCTGTGCTTGTGGAAAACATGTGCTTAATGGCTGTCATGAGCAATACATGGAGTTTTCTTTTTAAATACATGCTTAGTTATTTTCCTGGGAACAGTAACATTTTAATTCTATGAAAGTTATGCTTTCATTCATTTTCATTAGCACCTTAGGTTCTTTTTCATATTCATACTCCAGTACCTTAGTGTTTATAGATATATATGTAAATATTCTTCCATATAGGTTTCTTCAGGAAAAGTGAAGTTGCAGATACTCAAAGAACAAATCCAAGGTAAAGACATCTTTGTTAACTGAATAAAAACTCCCAAACTTCTGATAAAGTACCTGGTTTTTGGAAGTTGCTGCAGTTAAGTATTAAAGAAGCCAGAAACTGAGACTGAAGTACTGGCTTTGTGTTTGTTTTTTTCTGTGGTGGTGGTTTTTTTTTGTTTTTGTTTTGTTTTGTTTTTCTTTTGTTGTTGTTTTTTGTTTGTTTTTTTGTTTGGTTTTGTTTTGTTTTCCCCAGAGCCAGTGAAAGAACCATTTAAGCAAGGAATGGCAAATGCTGTGTCTCATGTGAAACCTGAAGCAAAGAGGGTAGCACGTGGACCATGTGAAATTAAGAGTGCGCTGCTGGTAAGTAAATGGCTTAAAAAGTTCTCTATAGCAACAGCATATAATATGTCTATATATATAGTAGCTTTCTCTAGCAGTTTATAGACATGTGTATATTATATAGGATAGTGTGTTGTAAAATGAATTACCTTGGGTTTGTCCAGACTGCAAGCTTTGCGAGGTCTGCACAGATAAGCCGTCTGACCTGGAATTCACTTCCAGGCTCCTTCATGAAGAGACCTATACATGGAAATACATACTGCATGCCTAAAACTCAAGTGCAGGTCTAAATACTGCTTTAGCTTTCTGCATGTTAGCTTTTCTGTACAATGCAAATGTGTTACAGTCTATGGAAGTCATCGAACTACGTGCCTCTGCTCTTCTGTAAAAAGGAATCATTTTGATGACAGTATTGCTACTTTGAAATGAGCTCCTTGACTTCATCGTTTCAATTTTTAGCCTTAGCTGTTCTGATGAATTGAAGATTTTTTTAGTACCTGATTTTTGCAGTTTTTTCTGCTCAGAAAAACAGTACTTATCTAAGATGGTCAGCTTGAGGTGCCATATTGCCTGTTAGATGTGCAGCAACTTAAAAAGAGGAAAAAATTACTTACATATTTGAGATTAATTTGATCATACTTTATTTAAATATCTTAATCTTGCTGAAATTGAAATTATAGGTTGTTTTCCAAAATATATTGGTGATACCTGCTTTATTTCCAGGATTTCCCACTGTGATAATTAGTGTGCATAAGGTAAAGGGAGGTTTTATATGCTGATCTCCCTGAATGTCAAGAAAACAGATTAAATGGTTCTGTTATCAGAACTGTTACCTGTTCTTTAACAGAGTTTCTTAATTCTTAATTCTCTCACATTCTTAATGCTGACTGCTTTCTCAGCTGACGCTTGCTGTCTATGTTAGAGTGGAAATTAGTATTATCAAGTATGAGGTGATTTATATTTTATAGAGAGATTTTGCATTTTAGCAAGTGTAAATAGGAAACCTAGCTTCCCAAATACGATATAGCCTCGCACTATCGGATTTTTGAAGTAACTTGTGCAAATAGAGTAGTTCCATTTTTGAATGAGAAAATAGCTTCTATTCTAAGAAAGAGTGGGGCCGCGACGCGCTGCGGCGGGGGCTGCATGGCCGGGGTGCGCCGCCAGGCGGCGCTGTGTCCTCATCGGCCGCTCCCCGCGCAGGGGAGCTTCCCAAATACGATATAGCCTCGCACTATCGGATTTTTGAAGTAACTTGTGCAAATAGAGTAGTTCCATTTTTGAATGAGAAAATAGCTTCTATTCTAAGAAAGAGTGGGGCCGCGACGCGCTGCGGCGGGGGCTGCATGGCCGGGGTGCGCCGCCAGGCGGCGCTGTGTCCTCATCGGCCGCTCCCCGCGCAGGGGGAGGCCCCGGCCAGTCCCCGCGCCCCCCGGCCGCTGCTTCTGCTCCGTTCACGTCTGGCGCGGCCGCTTCTTCTCCTCCTCACGTGGGGAGTGATGGGGAAGCTGGAAATCGTTTCTTCTATGATGAACTACTCCTTAACGCCCCCCACCCTTCAGTTTAGATGAAGCTGTACTGAAGCATCTCCAGTATGAGGAAAAGCTGAAAGTTAGGTCTGTTCAGCTGGGAGAAGAGACTGAGGGGCGTGTCATTAATGCTTATAAATATCTAAAGGGTGGAGGTCAGGAGGACAGAACCAGACTCTTCTTGGTTGTGCCCTGTGACAGGACGAGGGGCAATGATCATGAACTGGAACACAGGAGGTTCAACTTGAAACATGAGGAAAACCTTCTTACTGTGAGGGTGACAGCACTGGAACCTCAGAGAGATTGTGGAGTCTCCTTCTTTGGAGACATTCAAAACCCACCTGGACGTGTTCCTGTGTGATCTTCTCTGGGTGATCCTGCTCTAGTAGGGAGATTGGACTGGATGATCTTCAGAGGTCCCTTCCAACCCCAACCAGTCTGTGATTCTGTGATTCTAAGGACTTAATTCTTGATCCCAGAACATTTTCTAGATCATGAATAGCACTTGTGAGCTCGGGACAATGTGGACTAATAATAAGACATTGTTGTAAAACTGCTTAGGTTACAATGAAATTACTCTCACCCTATCACATGTGAATTTCTTATTAAGTAAAAATTATTTCAGTTAAAATAAGTTTTCATAGAAGCAAATAGCACAGCTTTCTTATTGCAATACTTATTAAAAAAAATTGTGCTGTGTTTTCTTGTGCCTTGATGAGTGTTATAGTTAGACACACCTCACGGAAAACTGAGTTAAATTGAACCAATGTTAGTATTACATGGTTGGAAATATGTAACAGATTGCTAGGTTAGGAGATTTTTACACAGGCTCTTTGGAATATTGTTGTTGGTATATTGTTTGAGACTTTTCCAAGTGAATGTTAAGTAATTTAGAAAAAAAAATTAAGTACTAAAAATAGCCAGAGGTGTTTTTTTCTTTGTCAAGAACAATTACATACCCTTGTGAGTATATTGAACAGTCTATGTTACTTGTAATTTAAATATAATTACATGTAAGCTTTAAACTCTCAATTCCTACTTATAGTTATGTCTGTTCTGTCAGATACCACATTCAGAATTCCTGATTCTTTTGTACCTGGATTCTACTCACAAAGGAATAAACTGTGATGAAAGTATAATGTTATACAGTACAACAGAGACTTAAATTGTGTGTAATTTTATTATTCTGCACAGTAGCTCAGTTTCTAGCGTACAACTTTGTCGCATATCTGTTATGAAACAATAAAAAAATTATAATTTTATAATTACAGTAGTAAAGGTTCCTCCTAGAATTATTGTGTAACACTTAACTGTAATAAACTTAAGTTTCTCATGCATTATATTTGATTGCAGTTCATAAATGGGTTGTAGAAACCTTTTCTGGACCAAATTGTACCTGCATTTTGGATTTTATCTTTTGGAAAAACCCACTGTTTTTGTTCTCCTAAGGTTATTCCAATTTTGATTTTGAGAAATGCCATGATTTACTTTTTAAAAATCTATTTTTCAAACCTATATTTTGCTTGTTTTCATTTTTTTTTTTCATTCCTGCGTTAATGATAACTTCTTTATAGCTGGACTTAACGAATCGAAGAGAAGCCATGTCAGGACCGTTTTATAGAAAAAATGTTTGGATTAATACGTCATTGTTATGATTATAAAGAATCAAAGTTATTTTGTTGTGAAACATAAATATAGAAAATGAAGATAGGTTCTTGATTAAGTGTAAGTTGATTCAACTATTTTAGTTCTACCAACAGAGGTTTTCCTGAAGGCAGATTTTACTTTTTGATGATGTGACTGAATATGTCATTCTGTTATCCTGATGTTGGGGGAAAAAAAGAATTGCTGTCAATTATGGATGATTATAGACTATTGGGATTGAGGAACAAGGCACAGCACACGTGTTCATACAGTCGAGTTTGAATCGTACTCATCCTGCATGGCAGTATGAGAATCAGAGGCAGACTGGATAAGGAAAAGGTTACCGCTGTTTGAAGCTGTTAGTGTCCCTGCATGTGCACTGGTGTGCCACAAGGATCATTTAATGTGCAACTTGCTGGGTCAGTTATAGTATGTTCTAGTTTTGCAATGGCTGCTTGGCATCTTTGATTATTTCTGCCTGTAACTTTACTGCTCTTGTGCTTTTGTGGTAAGAATATGTGCCTTACATGAGGATTTTATGGACAAAGGATCTTTTCTTCTGGTCTTTCTCTACGCATAGGGAGGAGATATAGGGAATGGATGAACATGAAATAATTTCTGCTTTTGCTTGATTATCATTCAAGAGTCGACAATCAAAACTTCATTATTACATTTCCCCAGTCATTTCCTTAGTTCTAGTGAAGGCTGCTAACCAGTCAAGTCCCAGTGTGAGTAAAACCGTGACTATCCTTCTGTAGTTACGTCCAGTCAAACTCATCTGGTTCTTTGTAGTTTGGACTTTCCTATACTATTTTTTGTGTGTGAGCGAGTATTCTAGTTAGTTCCTTAAATGAACATTTTCCTCTTGTTGACCTCTACAGAAGTGCTTCTGTTTACTGTGAAGCTTCAGTAAGCAGAACTTCATTAGTCAAGTCCATAGCTCATAAATTGGTTTAAATGATATGTACTGCATAGAACACCTCACTTAATCTGTCCTGTGTCACACCTAGCAGCATATTCAGATTTTGAATTTTTGCTCATGTATTTGCAAACTATTGATTGTTGAAATTATGAGGTGTTTACGTCACCATCACTCTTCATATGTGGTTCCCTACCTGCTTTTAATATGCTGTTTGGTGGAATGTTTGAGTATGTTTATAGTAAATTAATGGATTTATAATATTTCATTTACAGACAGAAGCCAATAGACATGTTGGAAAATTGGAAGTCATTGATCACTTCAACAAGGAAGTAAATCTGAATGAATCAAAAATGAATCATAAGCAGAAGAAAGTAAATAGCAAGCATCAAGTCACATCAGACAAGTTTTCATCTCTCCTGGCATCGGTAGGCAGTGCTGAGGTAGTGTACAGTTTGGAAACAAAAAAATATTATTTGTGTTTAGGACAGTTTAGGTAGAGTGGCCTTAGGTTTTTCTGCAGTGTGCCAGGTGAGGGATCAGGCTATCAGACTGGCAAAGCTCATTGACCCCTGTTTATGTCTGCATGGGATATCCATCCTATACATGGGGTGTGGGCTATCCATGGTGACTGCTTTCTGCCTAGTAAAAACTTTTAAGTTATATGTTTGTTTTGTGTGCTTATACAAACTTTTTTTATTTTCCTATTTTGCTCTTGATAGAACATTGCAATTTGTTAGCAAAACCACATAAAAATGGAGTAATCTTGATTGGCAGCGTAGCTAGACTAAGGCTGGAAAACAGGGTGCTGCATTTCCATAGTCAGTACTAAAAATGTTGTTGCTATTATGTGTAACTGGGGAGAGGGTTGTCTTCAGAAGTGCTGTATTAATTATGTTGTGGTATTGATTAGGAACTGTCCTCAGAACCAACCTGTACAAGCCTTGAAAATCGGGACAAAGGTTTGTTACTAAATGGTGTATTTAATGAGGAGAAATCTGCAAAGTCTTTTCAGGAAGCTTTGATTCAGTGGAGAAGAGGTAATTGTGGTCACAGAGAAGAACTGCATGTCAGTGAGGTACTGTCAGGTATGCTTTTTTCAATTTAATTGTGTTTTAAAAACATTAGGAGTCATTTTGGTGAGCTAGCAGGTTTTTGACTAGTGAAGGTAGATGTTCTATTAGAATAGTAAGTGTCTCTTCTTCAGTTCTCTCTCTGTATTCCTTTATAAATTAACAACAACCTCTGAAGTTTTTTTTAAAAACCTGCAGATCAGTATTTTATCCCAATTCTTACAACAAACTGTGCTCATGACCAGGTTGTTTAGCTTGTGTGCCTGTACTTTTCTATGGCATTGCTTCTCACATGAGACTTTAATAAGAATAATAATGCCAAAGCAAAGTCACAGCTTTTAGCTGAGACAAGGAATGTGCTTGGCTCAGGATTTCGTATGTTGTATCAAAGTACATTTTCTGCTTGCCTTCCACGGGCTCTTAATATTTCTTTGTTCCAGAAAAAAGATGCAATCAGTTGAAGTATGCATAGAAAAATCTGAGAAAACCCTTTTGATTGGATTTGTGCAAACTAGTCCCTTTCCTCTAGTCTGTGTTCAGTTTTGTGTATTTTGGTACAAATATTATTATATTGATTTCTCCTGTTTTTTACTTTTTTTCCCTTCCCTTCTTTCCATTGAGATGGTGGGATTTATCTGTGGAGTCATGGATTACCCCCACTTTCCCTCTCACCCACCATGTAGTGGCCTTCCTTTATGTGAGAAGCTGTAATAAATGAGGTTTTACTGGCTACCTCCACAGCTGCCTGTTATGTAAATGTAATACTGCTGCCCATGTAAATTTTGGAATCATGCGAAGGCTTAGCTAAGCATAGAATGACATTCATTCAAAAATCATGTAGTTAACCAGCAAGTTGATAAATCTGAATAGCTGTATGTGTATCTTTTAATAATTCTGATAGAATCTGTGGGAAATCATGAGGTACAGACCAGTCTTACTGTTACGAAGGAACCTATCCAAATTGAATTCGGGAAGGATGGCCTGACCTACGTGGAGAAACTCTTGCTTAAGAAATTCAGAAGGTATTGTTGAATATCATTGCTGGTACTAATAAAAGAAGCCAGAACTACTTAATAGCATTAACAAAAAGTCCATTGAAACTTTTTAAATATTAAATATGTTATCCAGAGTTAAGGTGACTGTATACAGAGTGCTTTATTTTAATAAAATAACCATTCTAATCAAACTTAATATTACAGAATTGCTGCAGAGGGAGTATTTGGAAGGATTCTCTTTGCTATCAGTTTGTTGTGGTATTTGAAGACTGGTAGTCTTTCAAGACTGATACTTGGCTGCTTGATTTTGGGCATTTGCTACAGGAGTTTTACGGAGAAAAGGAAGTGCAACCTTCAGGAGAGTTTTATAAATTACATTACAGAGTTGTTTTGTTGGTCTCTGAGGTGTGAGGTCATCTCAGTGAAATTAGGAAAAGTTGCTGCTTTTCAGCAACAGCGAATACTGCTGCAGTAAATAGTGTGGTGTTTTGTTGTCTTTTTCAATGACTGTGATATTAAAGAAGGATGACTTTTTGAGTTTGATTTATTTTCCTTTTTTAGAACTCCTGTTGACAGAATTTCTGGTAGTTGCATTCAAGATTTAAGGCCTGTGCAAACCAGGAGTGCACATCAGGCTGTGACTGGAGAAGGAGATGATGATGATGATGATGATGATGTTGATGACGACGACCTAACAGGTGTCATATATTTCTGTTTATGTAATCTATTAGATACTTTTTTCTTGGGATTTTTTTTTACATGGTTGCTGAGCAGTTACATACTTAAGTAGTTTCTGCTTAAAGAAAGTAACAATAATGAAAGGAGAGATTTATGGTATTTCAAAATAAATAAGAACTTTGTATAAGTGAATCTTGAACAGGAAAAAATGAAATGCGTCGAATTAACTATATTTTGTAGTTGAAGATGTGAGGAGATATTGGACATCTGTGTTTAGAGAGACAGTACCCAACATTAGTTCTGAGAGTGCAGAGTCCTCTTTGAAAATTGAGTTCCTTGATGATGTAAGTATGTAACAAAGTATTTAATGAATCTTCACAGTGATATGACGTGATTTGTTTAAAAGTTGGTCTGTTAAATATTTAAAGTAGCAACAGTTAAATAATTGCTAAATATATATATATATTGGTACATTATTTATCTTTTCCATACAGATATGGAAAATTTATCTTTCCAAAGGTTCCCTGTAATTTTTTCGTGTTGTGTCCAGGGACCTTTACTATATAGGAATGATACAAAAATAAAATCTGCAGACTTTTAATTGCTTGAGTTAATGTTTGTTTGAATTTTAATCTATTACTGAATATGGGGTTTTTTTTTGTTTGCTTTGTTTAATTGGTCTTATGGCAAGGACTCGGAAGAATCATCTGACTTTTTCGGGATGGAAGCTGGGGCTATGAGAATGAATAAGCACAGAAAAAGTGAACCACTGAAGCAGTATGAAAGGTACAAGAAATGCAGAGATTATTTGGAAGAGAAAAGGGAATAATCCTGTCTTCTGATTTAGTTACATTCCTAAGAAACATCTTCTCATCCTTGTGCAAAACATCTGCAGCAGTGTCATGACGCTTAGTTACTGCTTTCCCTTCCTTTGCATTTCTTTCAAGATCCTGTCTGTGATTGCTGTTTTTTGTCCTTGAAAGTTTTAATTTGAACAACCTAATGATTTGATGACTAGTTTGTAAGACAGTCTAAGAACATTTTGGCAGTTAACAGGCATATGACACGTTTACCATTAAAGTTAGCGAACAGTAAGTTTGTCAGTGAGCCACAAAGGTACATTAATTGCCTGTAACTAGAGAGATGTCACTTTGAAATGTCTTTATTTTGTTTGATTGATCACTCCAATATTAAACCATGTAAGATACATTTCTTTGTATGTATATGCTCTGAATTACAGATAGAATTTCTCTTTTGTATGCGTTTGTCTCAGTAGGAGCAGGGACTAGCATACAGGCAAGTCTGTAATTGATCAGTGTGGTGTACTTTTAAGATACTCTCACTCAACTGATCTTGTAATTCCAGGCAAAACTAAGAGTCCTAATAAAAATGATAGAAGTGCAGCTCTTCTGATCTGCCAAAATTTATTCATGATTAGATGTGATCTGTTTTGTTATGTTGTATTCTTCTGGTCTTTCCTCCTCCCTCTG